AATGTTTAACATCCCATAATATAGGCAACTTTTCATATTCTTCAATTAATAATAACGAAGATTCATTGATCCACTCCATAATTTTAATAAAGAAAACGAAAAAAAAATCACACACGCACTCACGAACGCAGACAAAACAAATTGCCGGTGCAAACTGAGCGTTCGCGCACACATAAAATCCCTTTGAGCACCGACTAAAAACCGACACCAGAGGGCCCACAGGTTGCTCGCGCACAGACAGATTCAGAGTGAGCGTGCGCGCACAGCCGTTTACACTTGAGCATTCGCGGAGGATCAGTGTGTGCGTGCTCAAGTTTAAACGCACCATTAAATTAATAGAATATTTTAGTAACAGCTTGCGATAGTCAGTGTATGCATTGAGAAAACATAATAATTAGCTTATAAAAGAATAAACTTTTTGTTTCTAAACACAATTTCTCTTGACGGAAGATAATTAAAGACCAAAATAACATTTCTCGCAAATTTTGAGATATAATTGTCGGCAAAATTTAAAAGTTTGTTAACTTTTTCTACTAATTGAGAATTACTACCAATAATTTTGACGTTCTGAACTTTTGCGCTAATTGAAACCACTAATTTTAAGGTTTTGAATGAAGCTTTATACATTATGCAGAGTCCTACAATAGTGCGTCTAATCATCTATTGGTATAGTAATAAGCTTACCTACTTAAACATATTGTAATCGAAAATTTTGGTGGATCAAAATATCAAAATTGTTAATATAAAGTATTTTTCTTTGTTTTCTTTAATGGAACACCCTGTATATAGAGCTTTTGCAGATATTTGAACTACTCTATTATACAGGGTGGTCCGAACTGTATTCCGGAAACTTCGGCAGCATGTGATATATATGTGACAGATATGTCCAAAAATGTTTAGTTTCGGAGATATAGGGTGTAGAAGTTTCATTTTTATTTCGATTTTTTCCAAATAATTTCTGCAGTAACGTCAATATTTGGACTAAAATTGGTGTCTGGGAGTTTTTTGACATGAGGCATTTTATTTTGATGTCAATATGACTCCTACTAGTAGAAGGCGCCACTTACTTATTTTTTAACCGGTTTGAAGAGTAATATCTTTTCGTCTGTACCTGTATAAAACTATTGAGTAAAAAAATATACATTTACGACGCTTTTTACGTAAAAAGGGCTCTTGGTAAAAATCGCAACGATTAATGGTTTTCGACTTGGAATCGAAATTATCAATACCTGTCATCACTGACATAAATTAAACATGTTGACTAAATAGTTATTAGACTGAGATCATAAATTTGAAATGTTTTTGTACCAAAAGTTTAACAAAAACTGTTTTATCATCGTATTTTGCAGAAAAAAATATGATTAATTTAAAAAAATAAAAACTTCCCAAATTTATTATTTCAGTGAAATAACTATCTACTCAACGAGCTTATTTTTTGTCAATAATGGCATATTTGTCAATAGTGGCATGTTGACTATTTCCATTCTAAATATCTTGAGAACGGTTGCTCGTAGCGATTTTTACAAAGAGATATTTTTTTTACGTAAAAAAATCACAGAGATGTATATTTTTCCCTCGGTAGATTTATACAGGTACGGACAAAAAGTTATTACGCTTCAAAACAGTTAAAATACATGTAGGTGGCGCCCTCTACCAGTAGGGGTCATATTAACATCAAAATCAAATTTCTCATGTCAAAAAACTTCCAGACATCAATTTTTATCTAAATATTGATGTTACTTCAGAAATTATTTGGAAAAAATCGAAATAAAAATGAAATTTCTACACCCTGTATCTCCGAAACTAAGCATTTTAGGGCCTTCATTTATACGAACTTCTTTACCTATTTTTATCTGCAGAATATGCTGCCGAAGTTTCCGGAATATAATTCGGACCACTCTGTATACGGCCTCTTCAACTACAAATTTTTATCTAAATCTTTGTTAAATTTTAGCTTTGTAATATCTGCGAAATTGTTAAAAAAACTCGAAAACCCCCCGTAATAAAAAAATGTTAATTTTTTATTTCTTCCTTTGTCCTACAACCGTATCATTTTGAACAGTAAAGTTACCGAACAGTAAAGAACAGTAGTGTTCAATATAAAATGAACAACTAAGTTGCCCGTATATATTATGAAGGTTCAGTATTAATTTTGACTCATCCTGTATAAACTTTCGTGTAAATTTTAATTAAGTTTTTCTACGACTAGCCTAGAAATTGTTGTGTGCTAAGAATTTAGCGCACGAGATGTGTCATTTTGCACACGACATGTGCCAATTTTAACATTTTTAACCTCCAATGTTTAGCTGAAACGCCAAACGTAACGCAGCAGTCAGAAAAGTGTCATCATTACATCGCAAATTATTTCACAAAACTGGCAAAAACTGAGTGAGTCTGCTGCTAATTTGTAGTCGTAGTAAAAATAGCGTAAAAAACTCATTCGAAAACTTCTTCGTACACTCGTTCGACTTGTGGCTCTTGCCTGCGGCTCTAGCCAACAAACTGTCCAACTCGTGTGCAAAACGTCGTTTTCGAAACTCTATAATAGTTAATTTAATTGTGCAAAATGCTATATAAAACCTGTTTTTGACATATTATACAAAAAACATGCTTTAATGAAACTATTTAATATGTAGTGTGTCTCATTTAAAAGACTGCAAATTTGATTAGAGTGTTAGTCTTAAATAAGGACAAATATTTTCAAGATTGGTAGATCTCGATAAAAGAAATTCTTTTCTCATTAACGTTTTTTCAAATAACTCCAAAATAACCTAGATATTTTACTTTAAAAATAAAAAAAAATCGCTTAAATTTTGAGAACCACTGGTTCTTTTGTGGGTTTTCTTTCTTGTAAATTTAATCTACTGCCTATATTATTAGTACTAGTATTATTCTACTACCTATTTTTTTGACGAAAAAAAGGCATAGACAAGTTTCGGAGGTCGAAATATACTACCCCTAAAAATATTTGCACGTATTGGAGACTCACCCTGTATTCCCCCTTATGGACACCCTATAGGTAATATCTAAGTAGGTATATGTATTAGATCATCTAAACATTCAATAGCTATAATTCAGTTTAACAATTGTTTAATATTTTCCGGAAATATGTATAATATAAGTAAACAATTTAGTCATAAATTAGTACATTATTTATATAAATAATATTAATAGCAATTTTATTTTCAGATGGCCAGTATAGAAGTGTCCCTTTCCAGTACACCTGCGCAGAAAAAGTTAGTCCGATATCTTTAAATTCTTCAATACGATCTATACCAAAAGAAAGCCGCCAAAGAACTGGAGAATTTAAGAACGCGCTTAGGGATAAGGAGAATATAATTCAAAGCTTAAAAGGTCAGCTTACCGTGCCAGATTAAGACTAACGCCATTTTGAATGGTAAGTCCCCAAATTAATATTAAGTACCACAGATATACATTAGCCTATTTCTTTGAAAGGGATCAGCCACCAAATCAACTTCTTAAATAAATAAACAAAATACAGTTATATTTTAATTGAAAAGTGATGACTATAAATCCTATGAGAACAAAAAACGTTTATAGTAGCATTATACAGGGTAAGTCTTAAATAAGTTCAAATATTTTCAGGCTAGCACATTCAAAATAACTGTGTTAGTTTTTACTTTAAAAATAACAAAAATGAAATCTTGCTTAAAAAAATGATAGGTACTTAATAGCTCGGTCAATTTAGACATTCGACGGTACAGAAATTTACAACAAGCTCAAAATGCGTGTAATTGTTTAAAACATAACTAAATATAATATTTTAAAATTCCGAATCATTCCGGTGCCTGGAAAAAAAAAATTATGCGCGGTCAAAGGTTAAAAATCCCGAAAAAAATGTTTTTTGAGATTTTCCGCAAAACGGTAAGTTCTATCATAAAATTACTTCAGACAAAAATTATAAACCATACAATTCTCTATAAAAAATGTATCAATACTTTTTCTCTTTAGAGCCACTGTTTCTGAGATAAAACAAGTCAAAAAGTTGTAATCGTCATAATATTCACAAGTTTCCACGCCCCGTATGAGGTAGTGTACTTAGCGCGTTTTTTAACGTGGTTTCCCCAGTAAGCCTATTCCACATGTCTATTGTGATTTTGTGAATTGAAAACCTGAAAATTATTGCAGAATAAAAGATACATATGGGCGATTAGAAATTATAAAAGCGAATGGAAATACCTATTAAAATTAGAACTTTACTAGTCTGATCTTCTTGTTGTTGTTGTTCTTCTTCTTGATCTTCATCTTGTTCGTTTTCTTCATCCTGGATGTAAGTAAATATTGTCAATAGTAATATATCGCATGTTTCTTCGTTGATATCAAACGAATCCTCTACTATTGGTGATTCAACACAGGAAGATGACGGGCCTTTGACAATTTGTATTGTAAACTAACTTCCAACCCCAGTCTTTTTGGGTCTAGCTGATAACTTGGTAACACATCCGGAAAGATGTTCAAAAGCAGCAACTGAGGTTGAAGGGAAGACAAGCTAATTGCAACTGTTTTTATTTCGAGTGTTTTAAACGAAACATGCATATCGATACTTATCTGGGCAGGTTTTTGGGAGCCCGTACGTAGAAAGAAGAAATCGAATCCAGGAGGTGGTAATATCTTGTTGACTTGAATTACTTTTTGTTGAAAACTCCAGCACATTGAACGGAAAGTCTTATTTTCAAACATTTTAAAGATTGTTGTTTTTACCCTCCTGTAAAATGCAGACGTCATATCACAGCCAGTTATTGCGTAAAATATACATGATTTGACTCTCTTGCGAAACTGCTTGACTGTTTTGTTCTTTGGTATGTGGCCAGTTGTCAAGGCCGTCATACCTAATGTTGAATCACCAATAGTAGAGGATTCGTTTGATACCAACGAAGAAACATGCGATACAAAGAACAATTATTGACGCAATTTACTTACATCTAGGATGAAGAAAAACGAACAAGACAAAGAGATCAAGAAGAATAACAAGAAGAAGTATTTTGATACAAGTGAATCAGACTAGTAAATTTCTATTTTTTATTTATATATATTAGTCGGTTTAGAACGTTTTCTACGTTGTCCGATACCCAATTTCCAGCCTGTTCTATTCGTACAATCCTCTGTTGACAGGTTTCTTTCACTCATCGCTTTGTGTACGCTTTTTTGCCATTCCAGTTTCGGTCTTCCCTGTTTTCTTCTGCTCTTTGGTTGCCAATTGATTATTTTCTTGGGCCATCTAGTATCCTTCATTCGCTCTACATGTCCGTACCAGATCACTTTTTTCTCTATATCCTGTGTTATCGTACCTTCTATACCCCATTTGTTGTTTTATGGTATTATTTCTTATTCGTTGTTGTCTTGAAATTCCAATTAATCTTCGAATGACATCCATTTCTACGGCCTCTATCCTCTTCTTGTATCTCTCAGTTATTCTCCATGTTTCTGCTCCATACAGGAGGTTGCTCTTTATCATTGTTTCATGTATATTGAATTTTATTCGCTTTATTATTGATTTACTCCATAAGATTCCATTTAGACATCCGATTATTTTTTTCGCGTTGATAATCCTTTTCTCTATTTCTCTGCCGTCAGTTCCAGTGTTATCAAATGTAATTGCCATGTATTCATACTCTTGACACTGAATAATTTCGTGACCGTTGTCCAAGTTCAAATTTCCTTCTTGTGTGCCTATACATAGATATTCTCCGTATTCTTCAATAAGTTTTCTTAGCATATATTGCATATCATCTTTGTCATTGGCGACTATTATTTGATCGTCTGCGAATTGAAGTGTGAACAAACATTCATTGTCAATCTCTATGCCCATACCACGGATCTTTCTTTTCCAATTTTTTAAAGCGACTGCAACGTATATTTTAAAGAGAGTAGGGGAGATGCAACAACCTTGACGCAAGCCTTTGTGTGTTGCAATTTTTTTATTTAAATCGCTTTTATAATTTCCAATACTTATTATATCTTTTATTCTGCAATAGTTCTCAATTAAACAGAATCATAATAGACATGTGGAATAGGCCTACTGATACTGGAAAAACCATGTTAAAAAAAAGCGCTGAGTACACAACCTCATATGTGGCGTGGAAACGTGTTCATATTGTAACGATTATAACTCTTTGACTCGTTATATCTAAGAAACAGAGTGGTTCTAAGGAAAAAAAGTATTGATACATTTTTTATAGAGAATTTTATTTTTTGATCTATAATTTTTGTCTAAGGTAATTTTATAATAAAACTTACCGTTTTGCTGAAAATCGCGAAAAAACATTTTTTTTTCTAGATTTTTGACTTTTGACCTCGCATAATTTGTTTTTCAAGCACCGGAATGAATCGGAATTTTAAACTGTTGTTTTTAATTTCAGATTGTTGTAAATTGATGTACCTTTACACTTATTTTTTGGTCTAATTTGGCCGGACTATCAATTTTGAGAATCAGAGGATTTTTTCTGGGTTTTCTTTTTTGTAAATTTAATCTATATTATAATCTATTTAATAGACGTGTTTCTGGGGTGGAAGTATACTATCCCTAAAAATATTTGCAATTATTTAAGACGCATCCTGTATAGCACATTATATAGGGAGTTTCAAAATAAATGCAAAAAAATTAAGGGGCGATTCTTTGATAAATAAAAGGCAGTTTGTTACTAAAGCTTTAACTATTTTTCTGACTTGGTATTTTTTACTTCTTTTACTAGGCTTAAAAAAGTTTTCTTCAGTGCATGCACTATTAATTTGATAAATGCACCCAAAAAATGAATGAGTAATTAGTTTATTATTTTACAGCATGTCCCCGGATTGCCTTTACAAAAGGAAAAGTTTTTTTATTATTGAAATTTTATCGATGAAAAATGCATTCTTCATAAAAAAATTTGCTTGTTCTAAAATGGCTAATCCCCAATAATGTCATATTATTTACTGTAAAGTATCATATTTTCCAATAACTATCATCACCCCTTCCGTAGCATTGAACTAAATAAATGTTGTGCTTCTTTAACATTTTAAAACAACAAAAAAACTTTAGGTTCATTAAAATTCTGTGAATAACAATCTATCAAAGAATGAAAACGAAGTTATATTACCATTTACCCATTTATATTATATTACCATTTACCCATTTTGATTTTTAGAACTGGAATTCAATCATATATTCAAAAAATGTTAACCATATTTTCAGGTATTCCTTAATTTTCTCTAAAACTGTATAGAAATTTAGAAAAGTATAAACTGAAAAAAATATCTAAAATGGTTAAAACAAGCAAAATTTTTATGAAAAATGCCTATTTCTTAAAATGTCAATAATAAAAAAGTTTTTCCCCTTATAAAGGCAATCCGGGGATATACTGTTTATTATTTAGTGAAAATATAAAAATTAATGATGTCTAGACACTACAGACTTGATTTAATTTTTATTGCTTTACGATAAAATAGCTCCTTTCCAAGTAGTAAAAATTATATAACTATGTGGTAAATATGTGAATGAATATTTGCTTAATTGTTTAGTCTATAAATTTATTGAATTATGATATTAAGTTGAGGCGCTTTTCCCAAGATTGTAACCGATAATAAATCTGCTAAAAGAAGACAAAAAAAATTAAAAGATATATAAAGTTAATGAATAAATATTATAAAGGATTTCAAATTGTTTTGTCTCAGAGGATACGAAATACATCATGCATATTCACTGCAAATCTCTTTATATATTAAACAACTCTATTTCTAAATTACATAATAATATTTCCTTATTTAATAAAAGGTTATACGATATCTGTAAATATTTTAAGTACATAACTACAGACTTTCTCTGAAATTGATAGCCTGAAATTAATTTACAGGTGCATATTATCACATACCTACAATGTTTTAATAATTTTGTCTTGCGTTATCTTTTGCTATAATTTCAAGTATTCTGAATGTACTAGCGAATAATATACAGTATGTTCCCAGATAGTTTTCAAAAGGAAAAAAAAAACATTTTGTTAACTTTTGGGAGAATTTGCATTATACATAAAAGTTTTTGCTGCTACTAAAGTGTACTTACTACTACTAAATTCCTTTTATACTTTTCTGGAGCATTCCGTACTAGTCCTATTACTAGTTTACACAGCTTATAATACCTCTTAAATACGGGGTATAATGCCTCTTAAATACCATCGGCTCAATTTGCTATTTCAATAAACTATGTCACTTAAATTCAAACCATTTATCCCAACGTATAGTTCTTTTTTTCGACCACTTGTTTCTCCAAACATTATACTTAATTCTAGATCCGATAGTCCAGGGCAATTTTTTTCCAATTTTTGCAAAGATCACAACATTACCATTCCTGAATGCA